GATATTGATGAAGATAGATCCCACATTGTAATAAAAATATTTTTATCTTCTTTTCTACTTTCAGGCCTTTTTTCTTTTTTCATTTTATTCTCTTGTTCAGTATCTTCTTTGGGGGCCCATACTGAATCATATATGTCCTTTACTTTCTTCTTTATTTTGTTTTCTCCTGTATCTTTATTTTCAACATTTATACTTTCCTTTTTCTTTATTAGGCTTACCCATTCTTTAACTTCTTTCATTGCATAGTTTTCTTGTCATAACTCAGTGTATAATAGTGTAGCTTTGGTTTCTGCATCCTTTGTATTATCTTTTTTTAGGATTTCTATTTCGCTTTCATTTAGGTTCATCTCTGCTAATTTAATTACTACTGCTTCTTCCTTTTTTTTTGCTACTGATTTTTCTGTATTATCTGCAATTTCTCATTTTCTCTTAAGTAATTCTTTTTTGAGATTTGTTTCTTTATTTAATGTATCAATTTTTATTTTTGTTGGGCTACACAACATCACCAATCTTTTTTCTTCGCTTTTTATAGCTCTTTCCTTTTTCATACTTGAAGTTACTTCTGTTACTTTTCCAATAAGTATACATTTTTCTGCTGAGAGTTTTTTATCTTGGTCCTCTTTACATAGTGCCTAGTTGTGTAATTCCATTGCACTATAAATTGTAGTTAAAACTCTGGATTTTAGTACCCAAGATATTTTGCTATGTTTCGATCTACTATTAGAGTATATTTTTCTTGCTCTGTATAAACTTCATAGCACTTGCTTTGTGAAGCTTGAGTAAAATCTTTAATTAGTGCTAAATCCATAAGCCTGTTAATATATATTCAAAAGTCTATCTTTGTATTTCTAGGATGTTACTTGACTTTCTACTCGAATTTTTCAGAATATCATAATTGTTTGTTTATACTTGGCATGTTGTGATCGGCTTTGTTTATTTTGTTTTGTTTGTTTGTACACATATTGTTTGTTTTGTTTTGTTTATTTACGCATAATATAGTGATTTACAATTCAGGGTCTAGCTCAGTTTCCAAAAAAACAGTAAAATAAATTTTACAAAAGAATTTTTTGTAAAAGTTTGTTTTCAAGCAGAGTATCTCATAAAGTAAATTTCTAGAGTGTTCTGCTACTCTAGCAAAGTATATATATTTTTGTATAAGCTTCTTTTTTCTTTAGACTGTTTTATATTGTTTTCTATGTCTAAAGTGCTTTGTTTTAGTTGTTTTTCTTCCGGCTTAATTTGGTGCAGAAGATCAGCAGAGAGAGTTTTTTTTGCATGTGCACCCTATATATTGTATTAGTATTTGTATCTTTTAAAAGTATATTATATAAAAATTCAAACTTTTTTGGTAAAAAAGAGTAGTTTGTTTATTGCAAGTAAAAGATTTAAAAAAGGCTATATTAAAATAGTTAAATTTAACTTGTATTGCTATAGATAGATTTAAACAAGTAAGTTGTCTAGTTGCTTTATAAGTGAGAAAATTATATATTTGTATTTTGTCTTCTAATATGTTGAGTATTTTTTTTATATTCTACTAGTTTAAATTAAAAAGTTGGGTTTGGCTTGCCATTGCTTGGACTACTTGGAAGCTCTAAAAGATTAAGAGTTCAAATATAAAGGTTTTTTTATTTATAGATAATTAAGACTGAAGTGCTTGACTATAAGTACAAGGTAGATTCAGTAGGAGTTGGGTAGTTGGTTTGGTGTTTAGAAGTTTTAAAGTAATAATATGGAATTTCCTTATATTAAAAAAATAATTTACATTTGATATAACACCCAATTTTGATAATATTATACAGTATTTATATATTGTTTATTTTAGTATAAAAAACTTTTTTTATAAGTAAAATTCTATGCTACATATTTTTTACTTAGAAATTAAGACCGGTTTCCATAGTAAAATTTTGTATTATTTATGATTTCTTTATTTTTAGCATTTGTTTAGATTTACGTTAAGATCTGCAAAATCTGCAAAATTTTGCAATTTTTATTGACTCTGAGCCTAATTTTTGTAAATCGATTTTCTTGACATAAGAGAATTTAATAACATGTAACTAGTGATATATTATAAATAATTAGCAAACAGGTATAAGCTATTATGTTTACTTTTTGATTTAGTATATAGAAATAGACAAGGGTTAGTATAGTGAGCTTTTGAAGTGTTGTTTCTTTTTGTTGTATTTGAAGTTGGTTATAGTGTTGTTAAGAGTAGATTTTCAAAAACAGAAATTATATTTGTTTGGGTAGTGCCAAAAAGTGATTCTGTAACTAATTGAAGAATTAATTTTCTCTATAATATTGTAATAAATAACTCCATGAAGAATGAAGAAAGTATATTATAGATCTTATTGGTTTCCTCTATTTTGTCTACTAGGTTGTCTCTGGTGTTGGTAGCTTGGTTTCTAGATAGTAATTGTTGTTTGTAATACTTAGGTTTTTTATATTTTCTTTGTTTTTTTGTATACTTTTCTTATTTTACTAATAATTTGCAGATTTACAGGAAAGAGTTTTTATAAGCATCAACTTTTTAATTATAAAAATTTAATTTTTACTTAGATGAAATCCTTTGTACAAAATGATGAAAAACAAAACCTTGGCATAAAAATCAAATGAAAAAACTTAAATCCAATTGACAAAAGACAAAACCCTTGTGCTCTTATTAAAAAAAAATGAATATGCATACACTGCCAAATGGCAATGTTTTGACAAAAAAATAAACAAAGCTAAGTGATTAATAAATAAAATCACCATATTTTCGCGAAATAATGCACAGGGGCATAATTTCAAAATTTGAGCACACATTATGCTTAATTCTGGCCATGGTTCTATATAAAGCTCGTGAACGTTATTACGTGAAAGTATGGTATGACTTAGCAGTTATTCAATCCGATTTAATGTGATATTTCGAGAACAGCTGTGCTTTTTTTGATGATTTTGGATTTAAATTATTATTTCGAACCTTAGTATTCATTTAAGCTAAAATCATCGAAAACAGTATAGCTACTCTTGAATTACTTTACATGAAGATGGATGATCATTTTCTTTTTGTAAATTCGATTTTCATTAGTCTCGTCACCTTTTTCAGTTTTGTCATCTTTTGTAATTTCGTCATTTAAGATTTTAATTGACGAAAGACGAAACTAGGTTTCACATTTCATCAGCTCGAAACCTCCAAATTTCATCTAACAACTATATATACTTCAGTCCCTAACAAATATCTTCGAAGACATGTAACACCCATTTGAGTGAAGTATACGCCTTTCTGAAAAAGCATACTCCTTATGCATACTGACTGGTTCATAGTCGAAATCATGGTATTAAATTTCAAAAATTAAAGACTAGGTTTATTCGACATAATTTATTTTTTGATTACATAATTAATTACAATATTACAATATAATAAAACCCTCCGTAAATAAATGCACTACATCAGTTTTTTATCGCAATTCCCAGAAAATCTTTTTTTTATTCTTAGCAGTACTGACGCCATATTCATAACAATAGTCGCCGTCTTTAGCGGATTTTAATACCATTCAAACGCTTTCTTTTCATCTTTAGCAGTACCTATACGTTCTTATAGCAAATCCAAGATTGTATTTTCCAACAGAATTACCACCTTTAGCGGGATTTTAAATACCACTTTTTTCATCTTTAGCAGTGTAAAAACTATTCTTATAGTAAAACAAAAGGCTGTGTTGTCTATTAAGATCACAGATTTTGAATACTGCTTAAATGTTATACTTTTGTCTTCTGCAACAGATTATGTGACTAAATTATCTAATAGAATTACCATATTTTCATATTTTAAAAACCATTCAAATGCTTTTTTTACGTCTTTAGGGTGCCAATTCCTATATCAGTGCCTGAACCATGTTAATAACAATATCAAAGATGATGATTTTCACCAAAATCACCATTTTCAGCAAAGTTTAAATAGCATTCAAATGCTTTCTTACATTTTTTTTTTCAGCGCCATTCTGAGATTCAAATTTCCGTCAGGATCACAACCTTCGGCAGATTTTGAATATTAATAAAATGCTTTTTTCTCAGTACTATCAGTACCTACGCCATGTTCATAGCAATATATAAAAAAAATGGGTTGTTAATAAGATATTCAAAATGATATTTAGTAAAATGACTAGTACTGCATTTAAGTATAAGGCAAAGTTTGAGAATTAACGATTGCTTAAGTTTGAAGTTAGATCGCAATATGTACAATATAAAAATAAAATCTGTAAAGTGATAGAAAAAAGTAACTTTACCTTAATTTTATTCTAACAAGTTCGTCGATCTTGTGTATCTAGTTGAAATAAATAAAAGCAAAAGTGCTAATGCTAATTCACCAATTCATCATTTCACTAATTCACTGTTTCACCAATTCACCGTTTCACCATTTCACCAATTCACCAATTCACCATTTTACCAATTCACCAACTCACCAATTCACCAATTCTACCAATTCACCAATTCCACCAATTTCACCATTTCACCAAAATTTTATTTTGGTGTAATTCCAGTGAAACTATTTCACCATTTCACCTGGTGAAATAGTTTGATTTCACCAGCATCTATAGGTGGGATGGTTCAAAAAACTGTTTAAACAGTTTTTTAAACTTTTTTAATTATGTGCGTCAATCTAAAATTTGCGTCAGAACAAATATGAATCGTATATTTTGATTCACGTGACCTTATCACGTAGGCATCATGTAATCAACGTTTTTATATAATGCCAAGTAAGGTATTTAAATCTAGTTCAATGTAAGAACTATATGACTACAAAGTTATTGTCGATGAAATCAGAGTATTTAAAGGAATAATGAGCTTTATAAGATAAACTTGAAACTATTTATTTAATTATGTATCATAAAGACATAGACTATGAAATGAATTAAAAATATTTCATATTGTACAAAATATAAGATTAAATTGCTAAATTTTTTAAAAAAAAGCTTAAAAAGAAATATCTGAAAAAATTATGGATTATTTTCTAACTTTAGCCATTAAGTCTTTATATTTTTTTTTAATGGTGGAAGATTATTATCTGGGTCATCATTATCAGTATAAGGTGGTGGAGAGAGATTAGGAGATGAGTTATTTCTGGTTTGTCTCCAATAAACTATACCAATTATGACAGAAACAATAATTATTAATGTTATTACTATTCCTGCTGTTGCACCACCACTCAACCCACTGTACGAATTACTATTTATCATGAAAGTACTAGGTGCTGTTCCTGGGCTACCATTAGACAGATTGGATCCAGGGCTACCATTAGGCAGATTGGATATTGTTTTTGGCGGTGGTATATAAGCACTAACAGCCACAATGGGTGCTTGTGGTGCTATAATAGCATCATAACCGTACCACATATTTCTATCTGATAATTGAGAGTATTAGTTCCACCCAAATCGTTTGTGACTTGACAACTTCCTGAGGCAAGAGAGTCCCCACAATGCATTTGACGACAACCATAGGAACAAGCTACTTGAGGACAAGAGAAACCATAACAACTAGCGCCGTTTTGTAAATCTTTAGCAGTATAACGGCCTAGCATGTAATTTATTGCACTGGCAAATGTGTCTGTATTATTGTATGGTAGATCAGTATTACCTTCCAAGCAAAATATGCCATCATCATTTTGGTGCGAACAAACTTCCTGAGCAGTTGTATCATTTCTACTAATACAAGCATCGAGACCTTTGATACTCCAACATTGAATTAACTTATTAACATTAGTGCAAGTTGGTAGACTAGCTAGACAATTAGTGCTATTGGCATTATCGCAACATAACAACTTTCCTAGTTGCCCTGTTCCTCCTGCAAAGACACGTTGACAAGTGCTTTGAGTATTCTGCCTTTTTTTGATTTTAATAGTTTTTGTCATTATATATTGTTTATAGAATTTGTTTGTTTATAAATAATATTAGAAAATTTAATATATTTCATTAAGAAAGAACTGGCACTTTATTCTAAGAGATAAGTAAAAACTCTTTCAAATAAAGTTGTTGGGCAGAATATAGCAAGCCTACTGCTAATACTAATCAAATTAAATAATATTGGCGATTTTAGGCAATAATTGTGATTATAGAACGTTTCTCAAGTATAAAACAAAAGAAATTGTTGCATCACACGGTAATCAGATGTTTGCATCAAAAAAAGGCAATATTGTATCAAGCGATACCAAGCTGAGAATAATAATTACGTAAATAAAATGTGTACTTATGAAAAAAACAGAATCATCCAAATATTTAATGTATTGACATATATGAAATACAAAATTGAGAAACTTTACAACCATAAAAGCCTGAACAAGATAAATTAATTGCGAAACTAGACTAATTTTTGGAAATTTCAATAAATCTTATTATCGTTATGATTTTATATTACTAAGATAACAGAAACTGTTATATGCTAAAAGCAGCCAATCATAAAGACACGTGGGTGGACAGACAGACAAAAATCGTTTAATGATCTAAAAGATATAAGTCTTCCACTTCGCCTCGGGCAATTATATAACGTTGCAAATATAGGAGAATCATAATGGGTTCATTCACATGACCTTATCTCTGCCTTAACGTAGATAGAGATAAAGTCATGTGATCAACGATTCTGCATAATACCGGCCAAACAATCTCATCGTTTATAATCAATAGCCCACTAAATCCAAGAGAGAAAGGATATTTTTTTAGTAGAAAACTAGGCAATCTCCACATTTTGCTTATTATTAAATTCGCAAGAAATTGCGCTAATAAATTTAACAATACTATACTGATTAACCAATCTATACGCATACTCAATATATATACACTCTGAACATAGAGGTTTTTCTTTGGTCTATAAAATTACTGGTCAGATTTTTGAAAAACCTCTTGCATAAAAATTTAGCGGTTTGAAAATTAACATTAAAATATATATATAAAATAAACTTTAAATAAACTTTAAAATGCTAAAACTTTTTATAAAGGCGAGATTTTAAAAATTTGACTAGTAACTTTGTAGATCTCATCATGAAGAACAAAGTTACTGGTTAGATTTTAAAAATATTGTCTTTGTAAAAAGTTTTGGCATTTTGAAAATTATTGTCGAGATGTTGCAACATAACGATAAAATTTCACTAACTCAAAGTTTGGTTTCCTTTAGAGTCATTCAATAATATTGCTAAATAAAACTGGGTGAAAAGACTAAAAAAAATTGCAAGTTCAAAGTGTGACAAATAATTCTTGTGTAATTAATTATATTAATATAAATTTAATATTTAATTAATAATAAGGTTAAATTAAAAAAAATGGTCGAAAAAAAGATTATAGAAATATTTAATCAACAATAAGCTAAATTAAAAAAATGGTCAAAAAAAAGATTATAAAAATATTTATTATTTGTGTTATTATAATGTTCTTTCACAAAATTCTATAAAGCTCGAATCTAAGAATCGACAGGGTAGCCTTCAAATTTGCGAGTCATGTAAGAACACTTATAACTATGATCGTTGTGATAAAAATGTACATCAATATTAAATATACAGGTAAGTATATACCATGTACGCGTAAAATGCCATTTATTTTAAAGTTTCTAATAGAATAAGAATTTAATAATGCTATAAATGGGTCCTCTTTAGTGATATGGGTCGATAAAAAAATCATGGACCGGGGTCGATCCTAAAAAAGCTTGGGCTGGTCGACCGGGCTGATCTTTTACTAATGTAATTTTTTCCGATCAGAATCAGTTAATATATCTATATTAAACGCGCAAAAGGCCATTAGGAATTTTCTTTTTGAATTCTAGTGATATTAAATTATTTAATTTTTATTCATTTGTCCTTGAGAAAAATTCCAGCACGTTAGTATTTTATGTTGATTGATTGTCTATACTTCTGGACATTTCTGATCCTTACATTATATTTAAAGTTGGCTATTGGCATATAATTTTATTTACTTTTTTTATTTTTCTATTGTAAATTTTTAATATAAAACTTTATTTATTAAATATAAAAATATTTTAAATTTATTACCTTACTAATGCTCTAACAATATATATTTAAATAATTATAAATTATTAATAAAAATATATTTTTTTATAAAAATTGAACTTTTGTTCCATTGTTCTATTTGCCAACACTGATTATATTCGCTATTTGCCAATTTATCACCTAAATGAGCCAACTTCTCATAAATGACTAGCCTTCAATTTCTGCCTGAAATATTCTTTAGAAGGGAATTGATTCTAACACTTCTCTTATCGACCGGCCTGGCCACAAAGGTACAGGTTGAGGATCGACCCGCCCATCGACTCGGCCGTTGGGCCGAGGTTGACCCATATCACTAGTCCTCTTATTACAATATTTATGTATAGTACTTGTTATATTTATATTACAAAATTTGTTAAATATTAATATTCATAAAAGTTTTTTTTGCAATAACTGATAATGAAGTTTTCAAATTTCCTTGTTTTTTTTTTATTTTTTTTATTTTTTTTATTTTTTTTATTTTTTTTATTTTTTTTATTTTTTTTATTTTTTTTTTTTTTTTTATTTTTTTTATTTTTTTTATTTTTTTTATTTTTTTTATTTTTTTTTTTAACTATTCCTTTTTATTTTAGGACAACCTATACAATAGAATTATATACAAACATGTAGTGTAAATTCTCTTTATATCCAAATATCTATATATTCCAAACAAAAACGGTACTGAAATAAGTGACTGCACTAATAAAGCACTTCATGCTAGCTTCAAATGGATAACATCAGAAAAAGGAGATTTTTGGTGTTGTTGCTTTAGCACAACAATTTGTGGCACTTCTTAATAAGACGTGTCAAATAAGTATACAATAAAACACTGTAATACATATGGTGTAATAATTAATAAACTATCATTAGAGCTATATCGATATATTTTCAGTTAATAATCTTGTCATGATAATTCCGAATCTGATATTATTGTAAGCAAATGTTTTCTTGTGAATTTGAGATGGGATAACTATTCTAAAATTTTATAATTAATGTTGTAAATAATTTGCTGTATCAATTATAAAAATAAAAAAAAGAATTTTTAATATATTAAAATCATTATGCTAATATTACAAATTATATTTGTGTAATGTTAGTGTGATTATTTGAATTTCTAATTGTATCACACAACTAAAAACGGCGTTGCATTAAATTATACGAACTAATAAAAAATTAGAAGCTCTATTATAAATGTTTTAAATAAACTCGCTAACAAATATTCAACAATAATTTACTTTAACCAGCGCTGACTCTAAGTCACTGTTGGGAAAATAAGTACAACTGATTAAAAATAGTTAAATAAATTTTTTAAAAAAAAGCAACACAGAACATGATGATAATGCTGATTATTTCATTATCCGGAAAATTAGTATTAAGTTCTAGATCAAAATATGTAAACAATGTTGTCTTGGCATTTTATGTGAACATGTAGCAAAGCAAAAGCTTATTTCAATTGGCTAAACATAATCTCTAAAACCAAATAGTACAGTAATATTTCAATCATTACATCACAACAAAGAATTGTGCGATAAACTAGTAGCTGCGAAACATGACACAACAAAAATTGGGATGCCCAACTAACAATAGAGTCAAGTTTCTAAAATTTCAGAATTCAACTTAATGAATTACCAGAGTGGTAGGCTGGTTAATGAAAATAAAATTGAATAGTGTTTTTATATTTTTATTTAAACTCATTTTTTTGTACTGTCTAAACTTCATTCAAATTTAAATGACCTTACGGTGTATTATAGAGGGGAAACCAGATGAAATTATTTTCTTCTCAATTTGTTTACATTTCTATCGAATTTCTAGTTGTATATTGTAAATCGAAACCGAGCTAATCGAAAACTAGTTAATTCTTAATTTGAGTTTCTTAAAAGTATTAAAGTTTCAAAAATTGTATAACCAGTCTAATTCGATTCAGTGGTGCACTATTGGAACTTTATATGAAAAGAATAACAAAATTTATAGGATAAGACAATTCATCAGAGGAGTGACGATAGTGAATTAGCGAAAACAGCAATAGAATTAAATGGGATTCGTATTATTTCACCGACAATCATTTTATAGACATCACATTTTACCGACAATTATTCACCGACAAGTTCATTTTACCAACAGTCTATTTCATCGAAGCTCATTTCACTGACAAGTTTTTTTTATAAATTACACTAACTTTAACTCTAATTCTACCTGCCCTAATGATATTGACCAGAATTACTTTGTCTGTAAAATGAGTTTCGGTGAAATAGACTGTCAGTAAAATGAATTTATCGGTGAATAATTGTCGGTGAAATGTGGTGATTGTCGGTGAGTTGATCGGATCCCAATTAAATGTGGGGTTTTTATTATTATTTTATTAATTTGATAATTTTAATACCCGAAGGTTGTTTTTACATTCAAGAAAATTGAACCCCTTTTATAATAATGAACTCCAAGCGGCTTGGCCCTTCTCTAATCGTTACTTTTACTAAATTCTTTATTTCTTTCGCTCATCCTGTACATCTCTTTTTTTTCCTACAAATTTTGATATATCTTCTTTCTTCCTGAACCTTCTACTTTCTACGTTCACATTATATTACTAGAACCTTCTATTGATGATCTCTAAGCCTTGTATATTGTACACATAATATGAATAAAATTTTTCTTTACAATTAACGTTTCATGCGGCGCTTTATTACTGAGCTGATTGGCAAAACTAGTGTCAATTCTTCTTAAAAAATCTCTTAATTTTGTAATTTCTTTCACAAAACTGGTTACTGCTTTCTATGTCTCATTATATACTTGTAGAGTAATATATCGAATGTTTCAATTAATGTTGACTATAATATAAATAGGCTTCAGGAATTAACATTTCTTTCTTATTAAAGGAAGAATTGGAT